CCCCAAGAATTGTGAGTTTTCAGGGAGGACAAAAGATCAGGTAGAAATAATTTTAGCAGGTTACTCCATTCTCATCTTTCCCTTTGTTTTCCCCTCATTTGTCCTCCCCAGCAGCTTCATCTATTTTAGGCTACAAACCCTCTAGGAGAGCAACAGTTTATTTTTACATTGGGTTTTATAATATTATCAGCCCTGATGACAAGGCAAGCTGCAGATCCAACAAAATGTAAACAATTCTCTCTCCAACACTGAACCATTTTTAGATTGCAGTGCTCTTTTTGTTCAAAGGGACTTCACCAAAACAAGGACCAATCACTCATCCCTGGACGGAAACTGCTGCATATATGCAGACCTGTTAGTTTGAAAGTGTGGAAGTAGGATGCGGTTCCATCAGGAATCAGCTTATTCACTTTGTAAATAAAATTATCTCTACTGCACACGATGCTACCAGAGCTGTGGCAAAGCTTTCTTCATGCACAGTATTGCTAAAGAACACGATATTTCCCTGGAGGGTGTACCTGATTACTTAAGAGCTTTCCACTGCAATCTTTAAATTAAAGAGCGGATTAATTTGCTAGATCAAAGCATTAGGTTCCCCTTTCTCTCACATGATGAGCAACATAAGGTGAACAAATAAATACATTCCATAGGTGAAGACAGAGACATGCTTATAACATTCCAGTTCTCACACAAAGGGTTACTTCCCAAGCCCCTTCTTCCCTTTACATTGCACGGGAAGATCTCATCCATCTGCTTATCTATTCACTCTGCAATAGGTTTTTCTGTTCTGCTTTTAAAACTGAAATGGGATATATGCTCCTTAGCTGACTTATGGCAACCTGCAGGGTTTTCAAGGCAAGAAATGTTCAGAGGTGATTTGCCATTACCTGCCTCTGCATCATGACCCTGGTATTCCTTGGTGGTCTCCCATTTGAACACTATCCAGGGCCGACCCTGCTTAGCTCCTGAAATCTGATGAAATCAGGCTAGCCTGAGCTACCAAAGTCAGGGCAGGTTAAAGATACACTAGAAAAATACTGTCATCCTACGAACTGTTTGCCAGACACTCTTTTCATGTTAGGCTACACTAAATATTAGTAGGTGTGGTTCTTAACTTGATCATAACTCAAACCCATCCTACAACAACAGGACTCGCATGGTGCTCCTACTTCAGTAAAGAAACATGTGCAGCGTCCTTTTGTCAATGTGTAATATAAGTTATGAAAAATATTCAATTAATGTGACAAAGTGGGTTAAAAGATCTAAATAGGAAGATCTTCAGAGCAATTCAAAATTGCAAGTTATTACAGGGCTGGAGCTAGATGCCTTGTCTAAGCACGCTGAAGGCCTATGTAGGATTAAGCTGTAAGACTTCTGTAATAGATGGACTGTAAACCTGCCCATTTGGAGGCAGGAGAGAAGGGGGGAGAATGTTCTTCTCAACACACAAACAGCATATAGGAGTACTTCTTTGGTTAACTGCCATTATTATGCTTTTCTGCTCCCTCTATGGATCTCTCATGGAAGTGTTTCTAGGACCATTCTTACAAATATGATCGGCTGCCCCTTACAGTCTAATTTGTTATCTGATACAGAGAAATTTGATAAAGTTGTGCAATACACAGTTTGTACTGCTAGGGTGAGTTCTCGGCTTACCCACAATGAGCTGCTGAACTGCAGAAGTGATGAGCTAGTCTGAATGATTTATTGCCTGTTTTTATGTAATGATTATATATTATTAGGTAGTACTGCAATATACCATAAACTGATAATGATGATAGTATTTCCTCCAGATGTGAAGGTAGTGGCCAAATGCCTTCTCTTTAGAGGAACAGAGCAAGTTTACAATATCTCCCAAACTCAATCAATAACCTTTCAGTTGTTTCCTCCCCTCCCAAAAAAACCCCAAACCCCACCCTTACAGCTGTATTTATAATAATCTTCCTGCCCTGGGATATTTCCATCTCTATTCATTGCATGCCTTATGCTGTCTGATTGTATTGTATTTATATTTTGTAATCCACCTTGAACCTAACAAGCAAGGTGGGCTATAACGAAGGAAATAAACACAGGGGGGAAAATATTTGCTTCCCCTGCCCAAATGTAAACACAACATCTAAAAGAAGACAAATGGCACCTCCTGGTATAGTCCTTGATCACCAAGGCACAAGGACAACTGCAAAGTACTTTAACCTCAACAACAACTTAGAGGCAATTTTCTGTTTCCCCCATTTTCAGAATGAGAGAAACCAAAGCTATGACTTCTTCCAAGTCTTAGATGTGAGTGGTAAAAAAAGGCAAATTCAGTCTTGGGTTGTATTAAAAGGGCCATAGCATCGAAATCGCAGGAGGTCACAGCCCCTCTGTATATTGCCTTGGTCAGGCCGTACCTTGAGTACTGTGTGCAGTTCTGGAGGCCTCACTTCAAAAAGGATGTGGACAAAATCGAGAGGGTGCAGAAGAGAGCAATGTGGATGATCAGGGGTCTGGAGACTGAGCCCTACAAGGTAGGGCTTAAGGGCCTTAGGAATGTTTAGTTTGGAGAAGCGGAGATTGAGGGGGGACATGATTACTCTCTTTAAATATTTGAAAGGCTGTCATTTGGAGGAGGGCAAGGGGCTGTCCCAGTTGGCAGCAGAGGATAGGACCCGAAGCAACAGGTTTAAATTACAAATAGAAAGGTATCGGCTGGATATTAGGAAAAAATTTTCATGGTCAGAGTGGTTCAAAGGTGGAATCAGCTGCCTAGGGAGGTGGTTAGCTCCCCTTCACTGACAGCTTTGAAGAAGAGGCTGGATGAATATTTGTCAGAGATGCTTTAGGCTGGACCTGCATTGGGCAGGGGGTTGGACTAGATGGTCTATATGGCACCTTCCAACTCTATGATTCTATCCAGCAAAGGACTTTGTGTTTTTATAAAGGATGGTGAAAAAGCCTATCAGCAACTACAAACCACAATAAAATAAAAGACAAATAAAACAAAATCACCATGTTGGCAGGTAATTCTCTTTTGAACTCCAGATACAGGGCTGAGAGGAGAGAGTAACAATGTCAGAAGGGGATTATCATTATTTTCTGCCCTATTACAGGCACATCTGGATAGCCACTGGATGCCGGATTACATAAACCCTTGGTTTAATCTAACAAGCCAATTTGTCCCAGATTTTGACCATACAGTCCTCAAAGCAGCTTACATCATTTCCAAAATATATTCAAAGCGTTATGATGCTGCGTTTCCCCAATATTACAAGCCAGTCTGAGGGCTCTGATATAAACCCAACAAGTCACTGAACAGGGATGCTGGATTCAGTGGACACATGAACATCCTTGCTCTCTCAAGGTCAGTACGGAGTTACTATGACTGGCAGTAACTCTCCAGGATCTGAAGTAGATGTCTTCCACATCACTTGCTCTCAAGACCTTTTAACTGGAGAAGCTGGGGGTTGAACTTGGGGGGTCTTCGTGCATGCCAAACCTATGCTCTAGCACCAAGGTCCCTCCTTTTGGTCCGATCCAGCTAAGGCTTCTTCATACACTGTTGCACTTGCAAAATCAGCCGCACCTGAAGAAGTGAGCGGTGACTCACGAAAGCTCATATCCTCCTGCCACATATTTTGTTAGTCTTTAAGGTGCAACTGGGCTCTTGCTCTTTTCTATTTATGTTATTAACATTTACACATAGGATGGAGGTCAAGACTCAAGAGACCCGGGTTAAAAACTCTCCGCTGTGCCATGAAACTTGCTTAGGCGACCTTGGGCCAATTTCTCTCGTTCAGCCTTACCTACCCCACAGGGCTGTTGCGAGCAAAAAAGGCAGGGGTGGGGGACGACATGCCTGCTGCCCTGAGCGCCTCAGAGGAAAAGCAAGATTAAGATATACTAAATAAAATGGGGGGGAAAACCGCTTGCAGTGTGAATACCGACGGTTTCCATACTGATACACGTAAACAGGAGTGACACCTGTCGAGCCGACCGCAGGCCCCGCCCCCGACGTGACGTCTCCATCCCCCCCCCCGCGCGCCGCTTTCCAGGGGGGGGAAGCCCCCCCGCCTCCTGCCCGCCCATCACCTCCCCTCTAGGCGGCGGCGGCGGCACCTTCTCTAGCGGAGCGGGTCTCTGGACGGCCAGCGAGCGGGCGAGCGACAGCACCGTGTTGAAGTAGAAGCCCCGAGACGAGCCAGGGCTGCTGGGTTTCTCCGACCGCGCCGCTGTCACCGCGGCAGCCGTGGCGGCCGCCGCCGTAGCCACGGCCAAAGCCGACATTTTGCGAAGGCGGCCCCGAAGCGCCTCAGAATGTCACTCTGCTGCCTCGCATCCCTCACCGCCCGCCCCTCCTCCTCCCCTCACAGCCCGCTTCGGCCGTTCTTCTCGCGAGAAGTCTTCGGCTTTCTCGCCCCCCCCCCCCGCTCACGCCTGACAGCCCCCCGGAGCTAGAGCGGGAAGGCGAGTCAGCGCTTCCGCTTGGAGAGGCCCACGGAGGAGTAGGTGCCGCGCTATCCGTTGACGTCTCTATGGTGAAGGCCCGCTATACTCGGGCTAGGAAGCATGAGCGGGGAAAGCCGTTCGATTGGCTCGCACGGAAGTGCCGATAAGGATAGGACGCTTCGTGTGGTCACCCCCGCTACCTTTTCCTCCGGTGCCCAAAAAGGGCAGATGACAATCATGGCGGCGCCCTCCGCCGCTTCACTTCCGGAGTCCTGCCCTTCCAAAAACAAGTCTTGCAAAAAACAAACAAACATCGCTTTTAAAATAGTGAGTCCCATATGCTGTACGAATTTAGCCCGACGCACTTTTTTGCCCTTTAGTTCTTCTGAAGCGAAAGCCAAAAATAAAAAAAAATCATTGTTTCCCCCCTCTTTTTAAGGCAGCATTTGGTTTCTTCCCCAGGGCCTCCATATTGTTTCGCATTTCCTCTTGTCACACACACCCCGCCTCCTTCCGAGATGGTTTGCTCCAAAGAGCCTCTGGGCGCAGGGAAGCCTCCCCGCCTTGACCCGTGACGGGAAGTGAGAAGGCGAAGCGATCGGCGGGGGAAAGAAGCGGGCGGCCAACTGCGGGTGAGCGAGCGCGACGGACGAGGAAAAGGAGGACGGGGGACATTATGGGGTTGGTTCCGTGTGGGCTGCCTTCAGGGTGTTGAATTTTAATACCTTATTCCCCCCCCCCTCCCCTCTTTCCTTTCAAATCACTGAGGCTGGTATCTTCAAATTGCCCCCTCTGCTTTCTGGCCTAGCTTCTCACTGAGGTGGTCGGGTTGGGCCTTCCCTCGACGAATATGCTCCGGGCACGAAGTCTCCCTGCGTGTAGAGGAGCGGAATGCCAGGAAGACGGGCCAAGCCTAGAAGCTCCGGTCCTGACACCCTAGGTTTCCCGTACGCAGGGAGTTTATACTGAGTATTATTTATTTTGTCACGATGGGTAGCAGCCTGTCTAGCTGTAGACAAGAGGAAGAGTCCAGGAGCACCTTAAAGACTAACGAAATTTGTGGCGGGGGATGAGCTTTCTTGAGTCTCGTGATCACTTTTTAAAGAAATTTTTATTTTGTATTCGCGTTCTATCGTGTGAAATGTGCTGAAGTGGTACTACTGAAGTGTGTGTTGATAAGCGTAGTGTGAGCTATGTGGGGCTTGATAGGGCTCTCCTAGTATCTCTAAGAGCCAGTTTGGCGTAATGGTTAAGAGCGGCAGACTCTAATCTGGAGAACCGGGTTTGATTCCCCACTCCTTCACATGAAGCCAGCTGGGTGACCTTGGGTCAGTCACAGTTCTTTCAGAGCTGTTCTCTCAAGAGCCATTCTCTCGGAGTTCTCTTAGCCCTACTTACCTCACAGGGTGTCTGTTGTGGGGAGAAGAAAGGAAGGCGATGTAAACCACTCTGAAACTCCTTTGGATAGTGAAAACAAGGTATAGAAACCAGCTCTTCTAGTTATTTTATTTAGGTATTTACTGGTATTTGTTTATGGGTATTTAGACCCTGCTTGTCCACCCAGAGTGGTTTACAACCTAATTCTTCCCAATCTGTGAGGTAAATTAGGCTGAGAGAGATTGACTCAAGATCAACCAGTGAGTTCCCAAAGCAGAGTTGGGGTTAAAGGTAAGGAAGTTCTGTGAAAGACCTTGACCTGAGAACCTGATGAGCCATGGTCTGTCAGAACAGACAAAACTGACATTGATAGACTGACTCAGTACAGGTAATCATCCTTAAGGGATGAGTGCTTCATGCACCTGATGAAGTGAGCTCTCTGACTCATGAAGATTTATGTTGGAACTAATTTTGATATCCTCATGAGATGCCACTGGACTCGTGTTTATGGTTTGCTGGCACAGAGCAACATGGCCATCTGTATAAGGTGCTGACAAGTTGCAGCTGACTTAAAACAACCCTGTAGGGTTTTCAAGTCAAAAGACAAACAGAGGCGGTTTGCCATTGCCTGCCTCTGTACAGCAACCCTTGACTTCCTTGGTGGCCTCCCATCCAAATATTAACCAAGGCTGACCCTGCTGAGCGTAGACCATACAAGTAACATGGCTATCCATCTGGAATTATCTGGGTAAGGAAGCTTTGTGTATCCATGCAGAGCCAAGATGGAGCAGTGTAGAAGTCTTTGGCGTGTTGACTGGAACCCTCAGCTAGGTTATGAGCCCTTAAAACATGTGTGTGGTTGCTTTTATTTATTTTTGGAGGGGAGTCCTCCTTTTGAAAGGAACTAGTACTAGTGCACCACTTTGAAAGCAAGGGTGCCACACTTCCTGACTCTTCCTGACTCTTGTTTGCTTGCATGCTGAGAGGACTGTAAAGGGAGGTCATTCAGCAGTGGAGGCGATTCCTCCATGGCTGTAACCTGTGTCTTGCTTCCCTTTTCCCTGTCACATCCTACTCTGATGTCATGCGTTTCCAACGTATTAGATCCAATGCTGCCACTGCAGGATTAAAGGTGTCTCCTGAGTCTGGAAAAGTTGAATACCACTGGGTTACAGCATTGAGGTAGCAGAGGGCACTAAATCCCCACTAAACTATAAAGGTTTGTTGGGTGACACTGGGCCAGATGCTCATTCTCAGCCTGATCTGTTGCATGGGGTGATCACAAGGATGAAATGGCTAAGGGGGAGGTCACCAGTAATGTTGATGAGCCCAGGACAGGAGAAAAACAAATGTATACATCTGGAGAGAGGATCTAATCTTTAACATTGAAAACTAGGTGAAGCGGTGCCTGAAAGCAGGAAAACAAGGAAGGGAAGGTTCCCTACTTTATTTATTTATTCAATTTATGTCCCGCCCTCCCCGCCGAGGCAGGCTCAGGGCGGCTTACATAAAATACATATATAAATACAATTAAAATCCATCATAAAAACAACCAGAAACCATTAACAAATCAGTTATCCTAAAGTGCTGGAACAATATTCAGATAAAGTGTGAGAGAAGAGTACTCCATAGGTGGCAATGATGATGATATTCCTGCACCAGCTCCGTTGATCTACTTATATATATGTGACACGGGCAGGCTGAAGATGGTGAGGCCAAGGTACAGGGACACTCCTTGGTGTATGATGCAGCTCCTTAGTCGAACACTTGGTGGAAGAGCTCTGTCTTGCAGGCCCTGCAGAACTGTAAGAGGTCCCGCAGGGCCCTGATCTCTTCCGGGAGCTCGTTCCACCAGTACGGAGCCGCCACTGAGAAGGCCCTGGCCCTGGTTATCACCAGTCTAATGTCTTTGGGACCTAGAAGGGCCAACTGGTTTTGGGCCCCTAAACGCAGAGTCAGTTTGGTGTAGTGGTTAAGTGCACGGACTCTAATCTGGGAGACCCGGGTTTGATTCCCCACTCCTCCACTTGCACCTGGCTGGATGACCTTGGGCAAGCCATAGCTCTGATAAGAGCTGTTCTTGAAAAAAAGAGCAGTTTCTGTCAGAGCTTTCTCAGCCCCACCTACCTCACAGGGTGTCTGCTGTGGGGAGGGGAAGGGAAAGGAGGTTGTAAGCCGCTCTGAGACACCTTTGGGTAGTGAAGGGCAGGGTATAAATCAAATCTCTTCTTCTTTTTCTCTGGGGAACACATGGGGAAAGGCGGTCCCTTAAGTAGATGGAGATTGAACTCGGAAACGTATTCCTCTAGTTTATTGTAATATTCTGCTCAAACATTTTCGCTTTTGTTTCAGCTGCTTGCACTTCCCTCCTTGCATTTATCTGCAGACTTTCTTGTCCAGCTCTGTTCCACCCCCAATGATCCTCTGTTTATGGACCTTCTTGAAACTTTGCACTTTGAAAGTTAACCATGTAAACAAACTGGCAGAGACAGACGATAGCACCCATCAGATCTATTTTATATACTCACTACTGTTAAATATGTTATCTCTAGAGATACAAATCTCATCAGAGATGGGTCTTCAGACTCAAAACTGTGGATTTTATAGAATGGTTGACCTTTTCAAATCCATAAAGCCTCAAATCCCATAAGATTTGACTCCCTATGTGGCTTGTTCTAAACTATGGATAAACTTTTTCTTTAAAAGTTACATGAAGCAATTCTATCATATTAGAAGTTATGTATTTATTTCTGCGGCCATCACTTCTTAGCATTTATTGACATCTATGTGACTGGCACCTATGATTTTATATATTTTACTTATTTAAATACTGTGCTTTAACTCATTTGTTGTGTGTGTGTGTGTGTGTGTGTGTGTGTGTGTGTGTATATATATATATATATATATATATATATATATATATATATATAACCTGTAAGCTGCTCTGAGCCTGCCCAAGTGGGGAGGGCGGGATACAAATTAAATAATAAATAAAATTCATTGTTTAGACTTTTAAGCTGCCCTTCCCTGCAAGCAGGGCTCAGGACAGTTTACAACAGAATAAAAACACACAATCTAAGTTAAAGTAGCATTGACAATACAGAATCGAAAGTAAAAAGCAATTCCAAGGTGGTGAATAATTGAAAAAGAAATTAAAACTACCCAGAGCCTCCAAGGGGACAAGTAAGGGGGGTTGGAAACCTGAGAGCACCAGACTACTTGCTGTCCCTTTGCTGTCCCCTCATTCCGTGATGATATTGTTGAGGCTTGTAGTTAAAATTATCTTCATGCAGGTTGTTTTACAGAAAGCATTTCAGCAACAAAAACCCAAAGCGTCCAATTTAAATTCTGAAAAAATATCCCTTTTTAATTAAAAACAATTTATCAACATAGGTTTGACTTTAAAAATTCTGGAGCAGGCAGCTGTGTGGCATGATGTGGCCAAAAATACTCATGTTAATGTTGCATCTCTGAAGTCTGCTCGCTACTTCGTTCTGTTCTGGTTGACCCTAATGAAAGGTGTGGTGCTACTCCTATTCTTGAATGTTAATGCTACATTCCTATATATGCTTACTGGGAAATAAGTCCCATAGAAATCAGTCACCCATTACTCATTAGTAAGTGCCACTGGTGTTTTGTTTTTTTGTGGCTTAACAGAAAATATGGTTGTGGTCATTCTGTGACTGCAAATCCTTACTGCGCTGTAACAGCAGGACATTATCTCTAAACCAGAGGTCTCCAATTTTTTAGGAGCCGATGGGCCCATTTGGACTCCTGATATGACACGGTGGGCAGGGCACAGCAACAAAACGGTTGTTGCAGGAGGCAGACTCAGCCACAAAACGATTGCCACAGCTCAACTTTAATAATACAGTGTAGATCCTTGTGCTGCAGTAGCAGCTGCTGCCAAAGCAATTTTTTTTAAAAAATCTGCACAGCCAATCAGAAGCTTTGCTGGGAAAGAGCCCTACCTGGCCCTACCTAGTTCCTAAAAACACTTGGCGGGCACCAGAAAAGGTTCTGGTAGGTATCATAGGGACATAGACACCATGTTGGCGACCCCTGAACACTTCCAAAGACGTGTGCATGCTTGCCTAAGTACGTCTGTACTGTGATCACTCATTTTTTTTCCCTGCTAGACACAGCTCGCTGTAATTTTTGTTTACCTTGGATTGCTGTTCGGTTACACAGAGAACCTCATTGGTCTGTGTGGTTTTGTCATTATCCATTTGAGTGTTGCTCTGTGTGTGTCATGAGCACTTCCCAAAGCCAGTGTCCTTGTGAGTTAAATGAGTAGACTCAAACAGACTGCCTTCAGAATACTGCTGCAGAGGAGGAGTTGGCACGGTGCATTGAATCAAGTTGTTCAGAAACTAGGATTAACCAGTCACGTTGGACTGGACTCTGTAATGTCGTCCCCATTTAGTTGTGTTATTAAGGAATGGTATTTAAAAATAGCAGGCATTTGTAAATGGTTTAAAGGTATGGGGTATGAAGGCCAAGATAAAAAATATGATAGATGCTGACATTGTAGCAAAAACAGGGAATGAATTCCCATAATAGCAAGATGTACATCACTTTCTGCAGTTCAGTTAAACGGAAGTCTGGTGGCACCTTTAAAGACTAACATAAATGTATTCCAGCGTAAGATGTTGTGGGTCAAAACTCTCTTCATCAGATACAAAAGTAACATGGCTCCTTCTCCTGAATTGTTTTCATTAGATGTGATGATGTAAACATTAAAGGTAAAGGGTTCCCTTGCTCGAAAGCTAGTCAAATCCAACTCTAGGGGACGGTGCTCATCTCTGTTTCCAAGCCAAAGAGCCAGCACTGTCTGAAGACGTTTCTGTGGTCATGTGGCTGGCATGACTAAATGCTGAGGCGCATGGAATGCTGTTACCTTCCTGCCGAAGCAGTACCTATTTATCTACTTGCAATTTCTTGCTTTCAAACTGCTAGGCTGGCAGGAGCTGGGGACAGAGACAGGAGCTCACTCCATCACGTGGCACTAAGGTCTCGAACTGCTGAGCTACAGACATTCCGGTCTGCAGCTTAAGCATCTTAACCTCTGAGCCACCGTGGCCCTGATGTAAACATTAGGATAGATTTTTTTCACTTGATTATTGCAATTAAAGTGTAGAAGAAAGTTATAAGGAAATACAGGGGAAGCTTGTGGAAATATATCCAACTTTTTAAAAAAGGTTTTCTCTTCTTGTATTCTTTCTCTCCCTCTCCATGTTTCAACAAATCTTTTACCCCTCTTTTTTTTCTTGTTCAGGCTTTCCTGCTAGGTTATGAATGGTGGTTGAATGTGTAAAAGCTTTGTAGAAGTCCATGCTACTTAACAGGCAGGAATTTTTGCAGAGGATTTGAAGTAGCAAGGGCTGTGTTGAACAGAATGGGAGGGGGAGGTTGGAGGGATTAAATAAGGATTTAAAAAAAAAACAGCACTGGTTAAAACTTCTTTGGTAGCATTACATTTAAGTAAGAAAACTGAAATCAAGTAAACAATTTATCTTGTTTTGTGAATCAATTCATAAAGCAGAAAAGGATCCGTATTTTAAATTGTAATCTTTTGATAGCATCACTAGCAGTAGAAACAGGCACAGATGCAGGCATATTATCGTGAAGTCTGAAAGGTGTCCAGTCTAACTTTCTCTCATATCCATGTACTACGCCTGGCCACTACTGGTTTGCATATTGTAAAGTCCTAGAGCCGGAGTGCAGGTTCACTGCAGAAAGCGTGCTACTAAGCAGGCAGCTTGAGATTACTTAAACGAATGAGCTGGGAAAGGCAAAAGTGTGACTTTGGCTCACTTGTTTTGGATCACTTGGTGTGTTTGTTTCCAAACCAGATAACTTATAGTTGCCCTTTTGTCTTTCATGCCTCCAGCACAGTGATCCAAAGGGCAATATTTGATAAATACAAAGAAGTGAAGGAGAGAATTGATTAAATAAGTCCCAGTGTTTTTTGCTTGAGGGAGAGGAACTCGATTGGCTGCTTTTCTTTGTATCTCTCAGTCCATTGCATCTATTTAAATAATAGTAAGAGCATTACTGTTTTTACAGAGTTTGGCCCTCCATCTCATGGATTTCGGCAGTTTCTGAAATGAAGAAATTGGTCACCTTCTGAAGGACATTAGTTTAATTTGGTTCTGCCATTGCTTTGCTTACATTCTCAGTGAAAGAAAAGATTTGTAGCTGTAATAATGTCTGCTCATCCAAAAAGCTACAATCCTTTTGATGATGATGAAGATGAGGACTTGAAGCCAGTGAAGTGGAATGAGAGAAATGATGATTATGACGACCCTGCTGAAAGACAGCGCAAGGAAGCTGTGGATAAGCAGCGATATCTGCAGCAAGAAGTTCTGAGGAGATCCCAGGCCACTGTGGATAGCACTCATCGGTCACTCTCCCTTATTTACGAATCTGAACATGTTGGAGTAGACACGGCAGAGGTAAGCAAGAAGTGAAAATAATCCCAAAGTATTGTCATGCACTAATACGTCGAAAAAATGAAAATACCATGATCCTGATTTTACACATTTGTCATGGCTGCAGCTGGTGAGATCCACGGCTTACTGTGTCCTGTCATAAACTGGTTCTGTTTGTGTACAGAATATTTTCTTCCAAAGGCAGGTCTTTCTGCCTCATGTGGTGGTCTTTGAGATTAGAAATGCCCCCCCTGTGCAATGGCAGCACCATAGGAAGCATTTGGGTTCCTGGCCTATAATTGCACATTAAATATCTCAGTGCTAGTTTTTTGTGCATAAGTCTATCAACTGCAATGGAACTTCCAATTAAGCACTGACTGGTTAACTATGGTTGCTTCACTTCATTAGGGAGGAGGGCCATATAATGGAGCTGAGCACCCAGGCCCTGGAATGCTTGCTCCACTAGAAACAGACATATACCTGGTTGTCTGTACACATCTGGAGACCAAGTCCTATGAGGAAAGGTTGAAGGAGTATGTTTAGCCTGGAGAGGAGGTGACTGAGAGGTGATATGATAAACTTCTTCAAGTACTTGAAGGGCTGTCATATAGAGGATGGTACGGAGTTGTTTTCTGTTGCCCCAGAAGATCGTACCAGAACCAGTGGGTTGAAATTAAATCAAAAGAGTTTTCAGCTAAACATTAGGAAGAACTTCCTGACAGAGCGGTTCCTCAATGGAACAGGCTTCCTCAGGAGATGGTGGCCTCTCCTTCTTTGGAGGTTTTCAAACAGAGGCTAGATGGTCATCTGACAGCAATGCTGATTCTGTGAACTTAGGCAGAGCATAAGAGGGAGGGCAGGAAGGGCTGCCTCAGTGCTTAGTTCTTGTGGCCCTTTCTTATGCGCCCAGGGGAATGCTGGTTGCCACTTTGGGGTCAAGAAGCAATTTTCCTCTAGGCCAATTTGGCTTGGGATCCTGGATGGGGTTTTTTGCCATCTTCTGGGCATGGAGCAGGGGTCACTGGGAATGTTGGGGGAAGATATTTGTGAATTTCCTGCATTGTGCAGGGGGTTGGACTAGGTGACCCTGGCGATCCCTTCCAATCCTATGAGTCTGTGACTCAGACCCCAGTTTTATCAGCCATGCCCTATCTTAAACTGTCACTACATATGCCAGTCAAAACAGTTGATGTCATTAGTACATAGGTTCATAGATTTTGGCCTGCCCGAATCTGCTTACCGCTGACCTTGCCCTCTATGACATCACGCAGCACTTCAGAGGCATTCCTATCATGGTAGAGGCACTGTGCAAATGTCAAGAAGAGCTAGCGCTCCATTCTCAGCTCCAAGCTGGGGTCAGGGGTGCTTAACTTTGTTGTGCTGAGCCTCTGTGAGGCTTAGTGCAAAGTTTGCAAGATTTCCTTTCTGTTCTTCAAGCCGTGGAGAAGGGTGGGGGATCTTGGCAGAACAAAAACAGATTTGCCCAGTAGGCTTCAAAGAATATGCAGTGATATGATTGAAACTGAAAACATAAACCAAAACTTGTAAGGAAGCTACTCAATTCTGGACAAGTAGAATTGGATAACTGTTGGTGGGTACTGTCTCTCAAGGAAACAGTCTTCAGTCACTGTCTTAGATTGTTCCACCCTGGTTCTTGAGAGGAAAGATAAGCTGAACCTGGAGGACTCATTCATAAATGTGCCAGTGGCTACAACAGATACCATGGCTACCTTACCTATTTCAGTCTGCACCTGTCTGAATCATCTATATTCAGTCTATTAAGGAGCCACCCTACAAATAATCATTGTCTATGATGATGCTGCATACAATTAAATACTTTTGCCAGGCATTTTTGAGAAGTAGACTAATGATGCCCTCTAAGATGGTCTCCAAAGATGACCAGAGTGGTTGTTTAGGATCATGTGAGAGTACGCAGTCCTTCAGCTATGCTGGCCTCAAGATGTATCAGGCTTTAAAGGTTAAAGCCACCACCTTGAATAGGGCCATGAAGCAGTTTGAGAGCCAGTGTAGATGGAACAAGACTAGAGTGATATGGCCCTTATCACCCACTCCAGCATTCTGTACCAGCTGATGCTTCCAGATAGTCTTCAAGGGCAGACCCACATAGAGCACACTGCAGTAATCTGATCTAGGTGTTACCTGGTCATGCACCACAGTGGCATGAGCTTTTATGGTGATGTCAGCTGTTAATCTGACCTATGGGGGTAATACTGATCTACATTACAAAAGAGTTGTAAGGATTTCCCCAATTATAATCTAACATAGGCAAGCCTTATGGTATCAGGAACCACATATGCTGATACCCAGAAATGTTTTTGGAGGCAAAAAGCAAAATATTGTCCCAAGTTTGTATTAATATATCATTTGGAATATACTGAAATAAGTATTTCAGAGTTTTTGCTAAATTAGGAAATGAAACTCCTGAGAGCGTACGAGCTTGTACAAACCATTCTTAAAGGATTTTATTAAAGCCCAAAGTAGTGACATTGTCGGTAAAGTTAAAATAAATCTGGTGGGTTTTTCCCTATCGTTAGTGTAGAGGAGGAGCTGCGGTGGCTCAAGTGGTTAAGACGCTGAACTGCAGGCTGTGGAAGGTCAGTAGTTCAGCAGTTCGAGACCCGGGTGCCGCATGATGGAGTGAGCTCCCGTCTCTAGTTCCAGCTCCTGCCAACTTAGCAGTTCGAAAGCAAGAAATTGCAAGTAGATAAATAGGTACCACTTCGGTGGGAAGGTAACAGCGTCCCGTGCGCCTTGGTGTGTAGTCATGCCGGCCACATGACCACGGAAACGTCTTCGGACAGCGCTGGCTCTTTGGCTTTGAAAC